TAATATTTTTTCCCAGGTATTCATATAAGTATATATAATATATAAAAAAAGAGAATAAAATAGAATTCAATAATGAGTCAATGCTATAAATTATATAATATTAATAAATCAAGTAAGAACATAAATCTGTTTAATTTTATTGAATTATTATTTGATTCACACATATTAGAAATAATTAAATTTTTTAATTCAAAAGATTATCCAACAAAAATTCCTTTCTTTACTAATAACAAATCAGAAAAAATATTTATATACAAAACTGCATTTTAATAAAAATAAGATGGATATAAAAAAAATTATTGAAATCATTGGTTTTTAAATTAAAATTGATGAAATAAATAATGAAGAAGTAAAGAAAAAATAAAGTTTCGTATAAACAAAATATATATTTTAAAAAACAAAGATTTTCACAGATTTTTTATTTTTAAATTAGTGTAGGATATTCGCATATTCAATATATATGACATAAAAATAAAGAATATTTTGATACAGCAAAATCTATAATTAAACAAGTTATGCATTTATTTTCTTTAATTTTATTCCCATATTTATCCAAAATTAAATATGCTATAAATTGATGCAAAGAAAAAATATGTACATTTAAAAAAATATTTTTTCATGCGTATAAATAAAAAAATTATCCTTTTTTAAGAAAAAAATATAATGTTATTATAACGACTGATTAATCTTATCTTATATAAATTGCAATACTATACATGACTATAAATAATTAATTCTTGAACACACACACAGCATCAATTTTAACACGATAGATTGTAGCTTATTCATTTGGTTGATTGATAAAATAAATTTGCAATAAATAAAGTAAAATAAATGACATAAAATCCTATAAGTTACTCGTCGCGGAACACACAAGAACTTTTTAAATTATATTAACGTTTTTTCCATTAAACATTTCCTATAAAAAAGATATTTTTATACAAAATACATTACAACTAGATATAAGTGATATAACAATGATATAAATGCAACTGATAAGGAGTTTATAAATCACAATGCAGTTTTTTTATATACAATACATATTCGTACATTCTTTTTTTTCGTAAGATTATTTTTTAGTTTGATAGAAATAATAATAATGTGAAAACATTAAAAATAATTAAAAAGATAATTTTTACACTATAATATATTTGTTTTAGAAAACATCAAGTTTGAAGAAATATAAAAAATTACTTATGTATAATTATATATAAAATTATGCATAATTATGTATAAGCAATTTTTTTTACATTTTTTTCAAACTTGTTTTTTTTTAAACAAACAATACAAAAATTATCCCTTTAATTATTTTTTATATTTTCATTACTATTATTATTTTTATTACTAAAAAGTAATTTTACAAAAAAAAGAAGGATGTATGGACTTCATACATAATTATACATGTTTATGAAGTGTTTATATATGTTTATACATATTTATATATATTCATGCATGAAACATTTTTTACCGGATAGTTTATATTATATATGTATATTTAAATGTACATATACATATACATAGAGATAATAAATTATAGACGTTTTGGCCCAAAACTGGGTCATCTTTAGTATGTCAAATCACGATAAGAGAAAAAAGAGTATAATTT